AGGACTGAAATCAATCTCAATGGTAGAGCACCTCCCAGCACGCCTGAGGTCCTAGTTCAGTCCCCAGCCAGCACCAAAGAGGAGGGAGGTCAAAGGACAGGAGGGAAAGGAGAGGGGCAGGGAAGCTCGTCACTGGCTTTTGTTTTGTTCTCCTTAAATGAAAGGGTACCTAGCAGTCACAGTGATGTGGTGACCTATCTCCCTTCGGGAAGGAAGGATTCACTACTGCCCAGCTGCTGGGAGTGGTACCGGAGAGCAAACAGCTCTCAGCTGTCAATTCTCTTCCTTCAGGAACTCAATTGAGCCGCCTCCCCAAGTCACCTTCACCTAATGATTGTTCCAAACAGGGACATAGGGCCTAACCCTCTGCCCCAAATTAGGACATTTCTAAATCTCTGCCGACTGCAAAGCTCCTAAAGAGAGCCAACTGAACCTTCTGTCCACACTGTATTGCAGCCCCAAAGCCCCCGCACACCAAGCTGTATCTCGTTAGCTAAGGTACCAGAAGATGCCCAATTTCCAACCACTGGTGAGAAGGGCTTAAGAAAGCAGACTTGAAAACGAAGTGAGGTCACCAACAACCTGGCTTCCCAGCTGCCAATCACCATCAACGGTGTTGAACAGAACAGAGACCCTAGCAAAAGCAGAAATATAACCAACAAAACCTCCCCATGTGGGAACCCAGGTAGCTAGCTTCCCAGTGGAAGACAAGGCAAAAGCTGACAAGTCCTTTCTGTAAATGGCTACATGGGAAAGTCTTTTTATTTAGGCTTTGTACCATTTTGGTCTTCTTACTGGTTTTGCTTTATATCTCTTTAAATAAAAGAGGAAGAGCTGGGGAGATGGCTCAGCATTTGCTTCCAAGTTCTGTTCACAGTACCCACCTCTGGTGGCTCAATAACTCCAGCTCCCCAAGGCGACCCCCCAACACACACAGAGACTCTTAAAATAAATTTTTAAAAGTGAGTTACTAAAAATCCAGGCAGGTTCTAGAATGAGTTTAGATTAAAAGCCATATTTTGCCAACAGAGCTCTTCTCTAGAAAATTAAATATATGGAAAGCATTTTTGAAGTATGAGGAAAACAGTAATTGCAGAGAACCATGAAAAATTAATTTTTGTAAAAAGACAATTAATCCATTGAAAAAAATGTGACAAGAAGTGAAAGTAAATGGCCAGAAAGTTCTTCAGTTGCTCCAGACATTTCTCTCCTATAGCAAGAAGCCACCAAAGACAACCAGGATCAGAATAGTCACAAGAGTAGTAGATCAAAATTAAATCAAAATTTAATCTTGACTACAATCAAAATTAAATTCTCAACTTGGGTGGATCTGTTATGCCAAGGTTAGGACTCACATGGGAAAGGGGAAGTAACTGGAACCTGGAAAAATGGGTTGAGTGTGTGGGATGATTAACACGAAACTCTTCTATCCCCAGCATGTCTTCTTTTTCCGACATATTGTATTTTGACATCTTAAAACTTTTCTGGTTAGGGAGAATGCCCCTGTCAGAACTAGCCAATTCTTACAGACCTCAAAGACTCAGTGGAGAGCCTGCCTTCATACACAAACTAGACAGTCCTCATTCTGGGCCTGTAATGCCCAGAGAGGCAACCGGGCCTTAATCCCCTTAGAGGCAGCAGTGAGTCAACCCATTCCGTATTTTAGAACCTCCCAAAATGACTCAAATCAGTTCTAACCTACACCTGTCTTGCCCTTCTATGAAAAACCACAACAAAGGTTATGACCTAAACCTTTGCCCTCCCTTTCTATCCTGTACCTCTTAACTGCCCTGGAGAACCCTGAAAAGTACTGTTGTACCTTCTGTATGTAGGACCTGAAAATAAACTTTTTCTTGAGCCTCTCTCTCCTATATCTCCTGTGGCCTCATGAATGACCATTCCACCCAAAAAATACCAAATACCTATATTCTTATGAGCCCTCTAAGATG